CGCCCGCGGGCTTCTCTCGGGGCGTGGCGAGGGCGCGTCGGGCCGGATTTGGAAGCACACGGCTTGGCATCGCTCGGACGTGTGCATTTTTCCTTCGGCGAGGCCCATCGAGGAGCATCCTTGATCATTTTGACGATCGAACAACACGCACCCATACCTATAGGGGGGACGGAGAAGGCTATGGGTGCGTGTTGTCGGTTGGGGTTCCCCGCTCGAACGGGAGTTTCCCCCAGGGTCCGACAACTCGCACCCATACCCATAGCCAGTTCCCCTCCTTTCGACCCTCCTATGGGTATGGGTGTGAGTTGTTCGCTCGTCACATTTGGCGAAAAAAACACCCACGAAATCAAAAAAAACATAGGGAATGGACGTCCGAGCGATGGCCAGGCGGGGGATGCCCTCGTTGGCGTTGGGGGGGGGGGGAGAACTCCGATGATGGCCGGATGTGGGGCCTCATGGGAGGCCAAATCGGACGGGTCTATGACGAGGAAACAACAGTTCCGAAGCGTTCCAGAACGCTCTCAGATCGGGCCGAACGAAAGGGGGGGATTGGGAAAGGGGGGGTTACGAAATTTGCTGCATGCAGCTGGTTTCGGCCTCACCGAGAGGCCCATTCCTCGATACAGAGCCGCCGCCGGCGCCGGGAGGCGCCGGGAAAATCAGCTACGTGAGCTGATTTTCAACCCCCCCTCTTTGCTATCCCCCCCTTTCGCCCGACCCGATCATGGGAGGCCAAATCGGACGGGGCTATGACGAGGAAACAACAGTTCCATAGCGTTCCAGAACGCTCTCAGAGCGTTCGGGAACGCACCGAGAAGGCCATTGCGCCCGAGACGTTCTCCAAAGCCGCCGGATCTCAGAGATTCTCGATTCATCCACACCCGGTGTCATCCTCGTCTTGGCTTCGTCTTACCACACACTACTGTTCCATGCTCTCGCCATTCCATTCTGACAGCACCGACCTCGAGAATCCATGCGCAGCTGCAAAAGCGCAGCCGAGGCGGGGATCATGCAGAGAGGGGGCTGCGAGGAGAACGGGGGGCCGTCGCGGTCGGGAGAGCAGAGCAAGGGCAGTGCGGTTCTCCTCCGCTGCCTCCCCCCCCATCCCCCGCGCCGAGGATTGATGATTGAGGTGTTTGCGCTTTGTCTTGCCTTCTTGGCCTCTGGGGTCCATCTCGTCGCCGCGGCCGGATCCGCCTGTCCTTGCAGGAGCCAGGGCTCAAGAGACGGGGGTCAATACAAACGGGGGTCAGCCAGAGCGCCGGACCTTGCAGGATCTTGCAGGGCCAGGGTCGCATTGACCTGGGTACGGGTGCAGGATCCTGCGGGATCTTGCAGGACATTGCAGGGTCTGCAAGGCCCGACTGACCCGGGTCTGGATTGATCCGGGTCAGCAGATCTCCGAAGAAGCGATCGTCGTCGTTCCCAGGCCTGCTGGCGACCCGAAGAGACCCGCGCCAGAGGTCTTCTGGGCAACTTTTGGCCACGGCCCGACGCGCCTCGGAGTGATGGCCAGGACGCCGTCCGTCGACAGTCTACCGGGCGTTTCGTAAGAGAGGTGGGCGGGGCAATGCATGGAAGGGGATAGCCCATGTAGCAGCGCATGGGAGCGTTCAAAGCAGAGCCAGGGCACTGCTTGGAAGCGCTCAAGGAAATGCCTGGGCACTGATTCGAATCGTCGCACCGTCGCACTTACATGGACTTTTGGATCAGAGGTTTGCAGGAGACTGCCAGAGGAGGACGAGGTACCGACACCGCTGCTCGTCCTGAAGTTTCTATGGCTGGATTATCTATGGAGTTCTGACCAGACCGCGCCACGGGAGAGGTCCAGAGAGCAGCGGTATCGTTGCATTTCGGGTTGTCCCAGATTGGGCCCCTTGTGGCCCCGAATGTGCACGAGAGGTGCGCTTGTCTTCGTCCCCCCGCTTCTTGTGACACCCAGCAATCAACGCCCAAGGGGTGCAGATGTGAGCAAACGCGGGGATGCCAGACGAGACTTCCAGCGTCTTGGAAAGAGCATGGCGGCAAGAGTGTGTTCGCAGGCTTGGGCTTCTGGAGGCCAATTTCGGATCGCGGAGACCACGAGGAAGCGACTGGAGGCGGCAAGCTGGTCCTGGGAGAGCGAGGGGGAGAAGGAGGAAAGGAGCAGAGGAGGGCGGGGAAGATGAGTTGGAACAGGGCGGAGGAGAGTGGGGAGGAAGAGGAGAGGGAGGGGGGAAAGTTCAGAGGCGTTATCCCCCTCCTCATCATCGATGTTCCAACTGCCTGCGGCAAATCATGCCACCGTGCCTGTGCAACAGCGCAGCAGGAAGGAGACGGAGTCTTGAAACAGCGCAATTCCGACGACCAGTCTAAGCTGGGACGGCTTGTGATATCGACCTCGTTTTCGTCAGCGCGGCAGGGGGAGGTCGAGGTTTCTCGCCGCTGCAGTTCAGCGAGTGGTCTGAATTGAGGCGGGTCGTGCACTATGCAAATATATATATATATATATACACATATATATATACATATATATACCATCTTCGTCCGCGCGGTAGGAAGGAGGAGGAGGAGGAGGAGGAGGAGGAGGAGGAGGAGTGAGGAGGAGGAGGAGGAGGAGGAGGAGGAGGAGGAGGAGGAGGAGGAGGAGGAGGAGGAGGAGGAGGAGGAGGAGGAGGAGGAGGAGGGAGGAGGAGGAGGAGGAGGAGGAGGAGGAGGAGGAGGAGGATGTGGAGGAGGAGGAGGAGGAGGAGAGAAATAAGATGAAGGGTCTATTAGGGCCTCTTAGGCACCTTGTGGGGCCTCTTGGGCCGCCTGAGGGGACTCTTGGCCCGTCTGACTCCTCCGGAGGCCGTCTAGGGAGCCCATCTGGGCCGCCCTGGTGCCCTCTTGGAGCGCTACAGAGCCGTCGTGGGGCCCTCTTGGGAGGCTCTTGGGCGATCTTGGGGCTCTCTTGGGCCGACTCGGGGCTCTCTTTGGAGGCCTCATGGGCTGTACCGGAGCTATGGTGGAGGCTTGCTGGGCTGCACTGGGCGGTCGGATGCGCACACAGGTGAGTAGTTCAAAGTCCTTCAAACACCTACAGGAAATCATCAGGAGAGGAAAAAACACACAGACACAATGAATCGGCGATTCCCAGGAAAATATGGGAAAATATGGGAAGTGGGGGGGGAAGACAAAAACCCAGAAAATATTGGAAAATATGGGGGATAATTTTATTTGTGTGTATTTATTTGTGTGTCCCAGTTCCCCTTCAAATCAGTGGCTGTCGTCTCCTCGGTCTTTCCTGGAGGGCCTCTCGGAGCCCTAGTTGGCCGTCGTCGGGGGCATCTTGGGTCGTCAGGAAGCCGTCTTGGAAGCCTCTGGAGCCGCCTTGGGTCACCCTGAGCCGTTTCGGTGTCAGCTTGGTCGTATTGGAAGCCGTCCAGGAGCCCGTTTTGGCAGTGTTGGAGGTCGAAAAGGGTGCCAGGGGCCAAATTCAGGGTGGGCAAATTCAGAGGGACGCTGGCGGGGAAGGGGGGGGGAAGGGCGGCCCTAGAACACACTAAAAAACCTTCCAGCACAGACAATCATTCCAACACGCCCACTCCGCGCAGGCACGTTAGCGGATCATCCATTATGTACACCGCACGCATTTTTATACCTTTGGCCGGAATGTGTGGCCACTGTTGCGCTGGCATGTGCGTGCATGTGCACAGCATGCGCCCAGCATGTGCCGTGCATGTGCTAGCATTGTTGACTGGATGTCCTAGTTGACATGCGCGCCAGGGCATGTTCAGGATCACGTGTCATGAATTTGGTGTTTCGTGCATCCGCTGTCTGGACATGCCCGCACATGCCGACGCAAATTCCCGCGCATGTCTGCACATGCGGAAGGCGTGCGAACATCGCAGATCGTTTGCGGCGCAGTCACGCACATGCTTGTGCGACCTCCCTGCGGATGACCGCGCGGGCCCGCACATGCACGCACATTCGTTGAGGTGCACGTCCGCACATGCTCGCACATGTGGACGCACACGCCCTCGCATGCCCTCGGAGCTGCCTGGAATTTTCAGAAATGCCTCCAAGGCCTCGTGGCCTTCTCAGAGCTTCCTAGGGCCACGAGGGGCTCCGGTGTTGCACGTGCTGAAGACATTTAGGCGCTTGACTCGCCCGCTGCTGGCGTGGGCGATTCTTGGCACGCGGGTCGCGCCTGGGTTCATCGCCCCTTGTCGTCTGGGGTCGGGGATCGGACCGAGGGGGAGGACAGCAGGAGGAGGGCAGGGGAAATTGATGAGGACGAGGAGGAGCAGGCCGCTGCAGCCCGCGTCTCGGGCGGCATCTCTGCGAAGAGCATACAGGGAGAGGGAGGAGCTGGAGGAGGAGCTGGAGGAGGAGGAGGAGGAGGAGGAGGAGGGAGAGGATGAGGAGGAGGAAGAGGAAGAGGAGGAGTAGAGGAGTAGGGGGAGGACGGGGAAGAGGCCCGTTTCGCGTGAGACATCTTCAACATTTTGGGCCCGCCATCCATACAGCATGACCGCTTGTAGGTGAGCTCGGCCTGTGCGAATGTTGTGCGTACTCGTGTGGGGCATGTGCGGGACGTGCAAGAATGCTGGGGCCGGCGTTCGTCTCCACATGCTGGGACGGTTATGGCATCCATCTTGGAGGGGTTGTTTGGGTGGTTCTTCAGTGATTGGTAGGGCTCTTTCTCTTGAGCAGACTGCATCCCCGACAATTCGGTATGTGCGTTTATGTGGGGTCATATGTTCCGGGCGCTTGCAGATGTACATCGGCATGTCTATCCAACTCTGCTGTATGCGCGCGCATGTGCGCTCGCGCTCTTGCATGGGCATGCGCTGTGCGGCATGTGCGTGCATGTGCGGCCCCGTCCGGAGCTCAAAACGAAAGTGAGCATGATAGAAATGGTCACTATAGACAAGAATCCGTTGCCAGCTTAGCTAAGGGCATAAGTTCGGTTCAAGCGTTGGCTTGAGCAGAGCATTTTTGACCATTATCTGGCCCAGTAACTCCAACTTTCGGCAATGGCGGTTGCCGTGGAGTCCCCAGATGTGGTCCGCTTGGGCGACGGCACCGAGATTAGCCTCGCCAAGGTGCCTGGCGTAGACGAATCGACATGGAGCGAGGTGAAGGAGTACCTCCAAGGCAACCCAGACATGGCCAAGAAGCTGCAAAGCTTCTCGAAGGACCCCGAGGCAATGCGCGGTTGGCTGCAAACGCAGGCCATGTCAGATTTCTACCAGAAGAAGCTGGGGAGCGCCGACGAGCAGGTGCAGAGCCGCATGAAGGCGCTGGAACAGGACCCCGAACTCGCTCCCATCATCGAGGACATAAAAAAGAGCGGAATGGAGGGAATTATGAAGTACTACCAGGACGAGGAGTTGATGCTCAAGTTTAGCAAGGCCATGGGCGGTGTGCCGCAGGAATTGCAGCCGGCGTTGAAGAAGATCGACGAGACGCCAATGACTTTGCACGAGGCGGCCAAGATGGGCGACCTCAGGGCAGTCCAGGAGTACCTGGAGAAAAAGAGACCACTGGACGCACAGGACCAGAAGGGCATCACCCCGCTGGGCTACGCTGTGGGCGGCAACCGCATCGCGGTCGTCAAGCTGCTGCTAGACAGCAGGGCCAACCCGTTCGCTGTGGACGCCAGTGGCAATTCCGCGCTGCACTACGCGGCGGGCTACGGTCGCAAGGAGCTGGTAGAGTACCTGTTGAAGACCGGAGCCAGCGTAGCGCAGGCCAACGCTCAGGGGCGAAAACCGCTCGACGTCGCCACACAGAACAAGCACGAGGCCGTGATCCAGGTGCTAAGGGCTCATGGAGCGCAGTAGCCGACGTGTGTGATTTTCCTTTTGGGGCTGGAGCAGCTGATGGCTTTTTCAAACCTGGAGAGATGCCACGGAGCACCTCCCTGCCGTTCAGGCTTTCCATCTCGGTGAGCAGCAGTCCGATGCGCGTCGACTGCGAAGCTCAGAGAATCCACACATTGTTCTTCATCACATCATCTCCCTTGGCGATTTTCGGGTCATAACTCGGGCCTCTGGCAGCCGTTCGTACGCTCTCGGTGAGGCGCGCTTGAAGGCATCCCGAGGCTGGAAAGCCGCCGCGAACCAACGGAAATTCCCGAAAACCTCAAACCTCGCATCATCAGCATCATCAATCACCATCACTCATCCTCATCATCATCATCATCATCATCATCATCATCATGATCATCATCATCATCAGCAGCATCAACAGCAGCATTATCATCAGCATCAGCAGTATCATCATCACCATCATTAGCATCACCATCACCATCATCATCGTCATTATCATCATCATCACGATCACCATGATCGTTTCCATCGTCATCATCATCAGCAGCATCGTCGTCATCAGCATCAGCATTATTATCATCAGCATGATCAGCATCATTATCATCATCGTCAGTGACATCGTCAGCAGCATCGTCATCGTCATCATCAGCATCATCATCACGATCATAAGCATCATCAGCATTATCAGAATCATCAGCATCATCAGCAACATCGTCATCAGCAGCTCATCATCAGCACTGTAAGTAGTATCATCATCACCAGCATCGTCATCAGCAGCATCATCACCATGATCATCATCAGCATCATCTTCAGCATCATCATCGTCATCAACATTAGCAGTATCATCATCATCATCATCATCATCATCATCATCATCATCAACATCATCATCATCACCATCACCATCAGCATCAGCAGCATCATCAGCATCAGTATCAGCATCATCATCATCATCGCCATCGCCATCGTCATCGTCATTGACATGGTCAGCTTCATCGTCATCACAATCATCATCAGCATTATCATCAGCGTCATCGTCATCACAATCATCATCATTATCATCAGCATCATCATCAGCATGATCAGCATCACCATCATCATCAGCAGCCGCAGTATCATCATTATCGTCATTGCCAATGTCATTGCCATTATCAGCGTCAGGATCATTACCAGTAGCATTCCCATTGTCATGAACATGATCACTGTCATTCAATTGCTTCGCTGATGCCGGTGGCCCAGTTCGCATCACGGAGGTTGCATGGTGCTGTGCTCGTACCCATGGGGACCGATAGGGCAGGCAGGACTGTCCTCGAGAAGATCTCTGGGGATGTTGATCGCACCCTGTCGAAGAGAGCCGATAGACTGCCCCAGAGGGCGCCAAGATGGCTCAAGGGAGCTCCAGCAGAGTTTCGAGACGCACCTGGGTTGTGGGTCAGAGTCCTCATGGATGCTTCTTGGGGTCTCTTCGGAAGGCTCTCGGGAGACTCTGGGGAGCAGTTTTGAGGCCTCTGGGGAGCCTCCTGGGGGCTTCTTAGGGGTCTCCTGGGGCTTCCTAGGGACTTGTTGGGGGTCTTGGGAACCTCTTGTGGGGCCTGTGGGGGGGGGGCTCTTCGGGGACTCCTGGGGGGCTCTGGGGGTTTCCTGGGCGCCTCTTGCGGCCGAGAGCTCGAAGTGTCTTGTCGGGTTACCCCTCTAGGCCCTCTCTTGAGACCATCCTGGGGACGTCTTGGAGGCCTCTTGGGCTGTTATCAGCAGCATTATCAACAGTATCATGTTCAGCATCATCAGCAGCATCGTCGTCGTCACCATCAACATCACCAACATCATCAATAAGACCAGCATCAGCAGCAGCATCGTCATCGTCATCGTCATCCTCATCATAATCATCATCGTCACCACCAACAACAACATCATCACGACCACCAACATCAGCAGCATCAGCAACACCACCACAACCACCAACATCATAATCATATTCCTCGTCATCGTCATCATTAGCATCATTACCATCATCATCCGCATCAGCATCGACACTATCATCATTATCATCATCACCATCATCATCATCATCATCATCATCATCATCATCCTCGTCACCATCATCATCCTCACCATCAGTATTACCATTATGGTCATACGCATCATCATCATCATCATCATCATCATCATCATCATCATCATCATCATCAGCAGCAGCAGCAGCAGCAGCATCGTCATCATTGCATGGCCTTCAGTTCATCCTGCTATCGTGCCTGGGTTGTGGGCCATAGGCCTCCAGGATGATCGTTGAGATGTCGCGGGGGGCCTCTCGGGGGCCTCGTGGAAGTAGGTTTTGAGATCTCTTGAGTGGTCGTGTCGGGGCCTCTTGGTGCGTCTTGGAGGCCTCCTGGGGGCCTCTTCTTGGGGCCTTCTGGGGGCCTCTTGGAGCCCCTTGGGGCCTCTTGGCTCGAATTGTCGGTTCGGGCTCTCGTTCTTGGGGCCGCCCCGGGCGCCCCTTGGGCCGTCTTGGGCTCTCGTGAGCCGTCTTGGGGCCCTCGTGGGAGATTCTGGGAGCCTCTTGGGAGCCTCTTGGGCAGTCTTGTGGCGGTCTGGCGGGGGGGGGGCATCTTGGGTCGTCTCGGAGCGTCAGAAGCTCGAAAAGTCGAGGACCCCGCGCAACAGGCGTCTCGAAGGCTTCTTGGGCCACCGTGGATCGACATGGAGCGTCTTGCGTCCATCGTGTAGCGATTCGGGGCACCGTTGGACCGTCTGGGCGGCCTCGTGGGGGTGTCTTGGCCCGTATATTGGGGTTTTGTAAGGCCGAATAAGTCACGCAACAAGACGCGAAGGAGGCACGCGGAACGCCCGAAGAGATGTGAGAATTTGGGGTGTGGGCCCGTGAACGGATCTCCAGCGTTGAAGATTGAATTCAGGGGTTGTGCACGGGACTTGGAGACACTCCATTTCGTACCACAGGGGCACGGTGGCGGAATAATCAGCATCATTACCAGCATCATCATTATCATCATCAAGAACACAATCATCACCAGCATCATCAGTATCATCAGCATCGTCATAATCGTTTTCATCATCAGCACCCTCATCATCGTCATCATTATCACTATCATTATACTAGTTACCATCAGCAGCATCAGCATTGGCATCAGCATAGACATCAGTATCGGCATCGGCATCGGCAGCATCATTGTCGTCATCGTCATCGTCATGGCCAGCATCGCCATAACCATGTAACCGTCTTCATCATGTGCACAATCATCATACGAATCAGCAGCACACCCATCACCTTCATCAGACTCATCACCCGCATACTGGCCATACACCATCATCATCAGACTCAGCATTACCACCACCACCATAATCGGCATAATCAACATCACCTCTTCCATCTACATCTACATATACCTCTACATCTACATGTATAACTACATCTACATGTTAATCAGCATTGCAGCACCATCAGCAGTAGCAGCAGCAGCAGCATCGTCAGTTTGAGCGGGTCTTGGCTGCCGCTATCGCCGACGTCACCCTGCCCTTTCTGGGCCACTCATCCAGCCTGATGGCGCTGTGAGCCAGGCGACGACGGCCAGCAGGCACGCTGACGCCGACAAAGAGCGGGTGATAATATGATAAACGTGGTTCGCATGCGTTGGTGCTTGTCATAATCAGCAGAAGCATCTTCACTGTCGTCATGATCATTACCATGAGCATCATCAGCATCATCATCAGCATCATCGTTATCACCATCACCATCAGCATCATCATCGTCATCACCGGCAGCATCAACAGTAGTAGCATCGTCATAGTCGTCATCATCAGCATCATCATCGTCATCACCAGCAGCAGCAACAGTAGCAGCATCGTCATAGTCGTCATCATCAGCATCATCATCAGCATCATCCTCGCCGTCCGTAGCCATTGCGGCTCAAGTCGTTTTGGCTCCAGATTCATGGACCGATGCTCGTGTGCAGGCCTGAGCGCTATTTGATCCGCGCCGTGCGTGGCATTTGGCGCGCATCACGCAAGATGTATTGGTGAACTTCGTCCTGGTGTGCTTCGTCGTAGTGCTCTCCGTGCCGTTACATGCTGATCACACGGAGGACAGTACGGTCAGCGGCCGCAAGTTGAGTCTGCCGGAGCAAGTTGGGGTCTTCCTGGTCCCGGACAAGGATACAAGTTTCTCTGACAAGAAGGCGAAGCTTGAAAATTTGCCCAGACATTTTCACACAGGCATTGGTGTCATGGCTGCATTATTTTTCGATGCCCATGCTGAGTGGTGATGCTGGCGATCGGCGATTCCGATTGCTGTTGTTTCTTCCTTGATCCCTTGGGTGATCCTGAAGGGCCTGGAGTGGTGCTGCAACTCTGAGTGGTGGAATGGGCCTGCTGGAAATATGCAACGATGTTGCGCGGTTCTGGGACCCAAGGGCTGTTACTGTCCTGACGCATGAATTTCATGTGGCGGGTTCGTGGCTGTCTTTGCTTTGCAGGGACGCTGATCGTGCATTAGGAGTGATTTGTTTAGCATGGTGGATACTCAAGGCACTTGTACGGTTGGGCATCATGTTGGTTCTTGGCAAGTCGTCGTTGCAGTTCATTCGGGCGGACTCGATGGTCGACAACGCGGATTAAGGATATAGCGCATAATGTTGATTAAAACATCCACGTTGGTATTCCTCTCGTGGCCTCTGTCTTCATGCTGCAGGTGCACTTTATTGCTATATAGATCACTTTCGAAAATATGATATGCAAAACCTAGCACCCGAGCGATATTATGTGGCTGTACTATTGTCATTCTCCCTTCGATACAGTGAAAACAGAGACTGTGATGTTGATTCAGTCAAGCCAGTTTGGTTGAAATTGTCACATTGGAGTTCAGACCAAATTCATCTTCCCGTGCGTTGCAAAATCAGTTTTCCAAAGTTAATGTGACACTTGCACCAGTCCACATGAGGTATTCCGAAAGTCCTGGCGCGGTGGTGCATGAGCGTGATAGTCAATGTCGCCCGTACATCCATACCTGCCAGCACGGTACCCCTGTTTGTTTCGTTCTTTGGGAAGCCTGTCGAGTTCGTGGTGGACGCTATGGCTCTCCAGTTCCTGGTGCAAGGAGACAATCTTGGAGAGGCCGCTCCAGTTGAGGTCTTGCCCTAAAAACAGGGCTAGGATCGGGATAAATCGCTCCAGAGCGTTCCGGAGCACTCTCAGAGCGTTCCGGAACGCTCTGGAGCGGCCGCGGCGCCCAATACATCCTCCAAACCCGCCGATTCTCAGAGATTTCGAGTTATCCCGATCCGATTTTGTCCCGATCTTCGCGTCGTTTTATGCCCGCAGACGCCGAGCGGGAGTCACTGCTGCCCTGCTGACGGAGCGGGCGGGGGCTTCCAGCCGCGAGCCCGGTCGCCCGAGCTCACCCTATTGTTTTTCATCCCGCTCCGTATGGGCCACCTTCAAACGACGCGAAGATCGGGACAAAATCGGATCGGGATAACTCGAAATCTCTGAGAATCGGCGGGTTTGGAGGACGTATTGGGCGCCGCGGCCGCTCCAGAGCGTTCCGGAACGCTCTGAGAGCGCTCCCGAACGCTCTGGAGCGATTTATCCCGATCTTAGCCCTGTTTTACACCTGGACCGTGGTTTTCAGGTTGCGGTGCGGCCACAGGCCAAGCCGACCAGATCTTTCTTACAGCGCGGCAATTTGTCCAAAGATGCAGCTGCGCACTTCTGTCTCATCCGATCCGTTCACTCCCGCCGGGCGCCTATATCACACATGTCGTAACGAAATCATAGTTCGTGGCCTTGAGAGTCGATGTGCATCAAGTTTGAAGCACGGCAAAATTGGCCGTTGCGTTCGCGTGCAACAACTACCTTGGCGAAATCAATCTGGCAAGTCGTGCGTGGGAGCAAAAGAGTAGGCCTCCGCGACGGAAATCCTAAGCGATTTCCCAGAGTCATGCCAAAGCGGAGACCTCGAGCCGCGAGCCCCGGTTGCCCCAACTCTTCCTCCTCTTTCCTCCTCTTCCGCCCCCTCCTCCTCCTCCTCCTCCTCCTCCTCCTCCTCTTCCTCCTCCTCCTCCTCCTCCCTCCCTTCGTCTTCTTCTTCGGTCGCCGCGAAATCTGGTCGACCCGTGCTGCGCGGCGCTTCGGCGCTGCATCTGTTGCTGTTCATCGCTCCGAAACACTTGCATGTCACATATCCGGACACGTAGGGGTGGGGCCATAGAAGCTCCACCGCTTCGTTTCTTGCTTCTCCTCGAGCTGACAGACGGCGCCGCGGACAGTCAGCAAGCTGACAGGCCGCAGTCAGTGTGCCAGGCTCGGGGGGACGCAGTGTGGATTTCGGCTCGGTGTGCTGTTTGGGTATCATCATCATCAGCATCATCACCATCTTCGTCTTCATCTTCATCTTCATCGTCATCACCAACAGCATCATCAGCAGCAGCAGCATCGTCATCATCATCACCATCAGCAGCAGCAGCATCGCCATCAGTATCAGCATCATCGTCGTCATCAGCATCATCATCATCAGCAGCATCATCATCAGCATCATCATCACCGTGGCCCCCGCTTCCCTCACAGGCCGGCGCGGGGGACGGGCTGGTGGCCCTCGAGCCGTTGGGCGCCTTCGCGTGGATCGGCCTGTACCCTGGCGATGTCAGCAGGACGCGGCACGCCGACCGCGAGCTCGGCTACGAGTCAGAGTGACATCTCGCCAGGGTGACGACGCATGGTGCGGGCGCAGAGGTCCCACCAGCAAGGGCTGATTCGCTCGAATTTTGTTTGGCTCTGGCCTCGCCCGCGGCCCCCTGAAGCCGCGCGCCAAAGGTCGCTCTTGCCAGGGTCACTCCTGCGTGCATTCGACGAGCGCTCTGCTCTGGGGGGGCAGCGCGCTCGATTTGAAACCCGATGTTCTTTACGCCAGCGTCGTCGATGTACTGTCGACGTCGCCGATGCATCGGCGATGCATCGGCCATGCGGCGCGATCCTCCGACCCCATAGATCCGGTTCACAGCGGGGAGGCCTCTAAATCGCGAGCGCGCTGCTCTGGGGGGCAGCGTCGTTCGCACAATGCCCACGCTCGTCGACGTGAAGGAAGCGAAGTTCCAGGATCGAGCCTCGTGGAGGTTCTTGGGCGTTGGGGTGTCGATCACGAGCGCACCGTGTGGCAGTGCCACGGTGGGTCACCAGTTAGGGGGGTGACCACCTCCCCCTGTACATCGAGGCTCCAGGATGGAAGCTCGAGGAGGGTGTTGGGCGTTAGGGCGCCGATCACGAGCGCACCGTGCTGTGGCAGTGCCACGGGGGGTCACCAGTTAGGGGGGTGACCACCTCCCCCGAGACATCGATGCTCCAGGATGAACGCTCGAGGACGGTGTTGGGCGTTGGGACGCCGACCACGAGCGCACCGTGCTGTGGCAGTGCCACGGGGGGTCACCAGTTAGGGGGGTGACCACCTCCCCCGGGACATCGAGGCTGCAGGATCGAGGAAGGGAAGCGTCCTCGAGGGAGGGGCGCCCGCCCCGGTGGCGGCCACGCCCCCCCCCCTGGGAGTGCCCCAGATTGGGGCGCAGCGTCGTCCACTCCGTGGTTTTCCCTCGCGCGCGCGCCATTTTTGGGGGGCGGGCTCCGAGGCAGCGACGGCGAGGAGGAGGAGGAGGAGGAGGAGGAGGAGGAGGAGGAGGAGGAGGAGGAGGAGGAGGAGGAGGAGGAGGACGGGGGGGGGTCGAGGTTCGAGGACGTCGCCCGTGCCCGTCGCCTCTCGTCGGCCCTCCAGCCTCGGGAGAGGCCCTCCAGCGGCTGGCGCCTCGCCGAGAGCGCCTGGCCTGGGGGTGCCCAGAGGGCGTCCCGAGCGGCCGCCGGGGAGCCGAGCGGGGGCCCGAAAGGCCCGGGGGGCGGGCTCCTTTGGGGGTGTCGTGGGCAGGCACGGCCAGCGTTTCGGAGCCCGTTTCGGGCCCCGGAGTTGCATGGATCGATTCTGCGAGGGAGCCTTGAGACGGGGGTCCATGCAAACGGGGGTCAGCCAGGGCACCAGATCCTGCAGGATCCTGCGAAGACCCCCTCTGGCTGACCCGGTTTAGCGAGCCGCTCGTGGCCGCGAGGCGGCCGCGCATATTGGCTGACCCGGGTTTGCGAAGATCTGCGTTGCAATGTTTGTTTCTTGCATTGCAGCTTTTGGTTTCCTGCTGACCCGGGTTTGGATCGACCTGGGTCATTAGATCCCCGATTTTGCGAGGGAAGCCAAGCAGAAACGTGGATCCAGGAGTCTGGCCGTGCGTCTTCACAGCACCGCGACTGGTCCCGCGCGTCCGCACGTCGAGGTAGCACGTTGCCCTTCATCGTGCAAGTCTGTGCCTGTGTCATTACGTACGGCCAGGGGACGAAATTATATGTGAAAAGGTTTTGAGTTCCAAACGGTCCACAGTTTCCATAGGTTTCATAGGTGTCCGCCAGAAATCGTTGTTTGATCATGTCCATCGCCATTGGGATCTGGCGATCTTTTTAGATTCCCGTTTTGCTCTCTGCAGGGTCACCTTGGCCTCCATGGGGTCATCTGGGCGAAAGTGCGTGTTTGAGATCTCTGTCAATGGGTTCCCAATCCGTTCTAACATAGTTGCCCTGCTCGGAATGCCTGAAATGTTACAACACAAACCGTTGGACGATTCCAACAACAATAACAGTGTCTCCGTCATTGCATGCGAGCCTTCTTTGTGCAGATGGCGTTTCCGTGCGCGGCCTCACTTTGTGGATTGGCGTCGTTGTCGCTTCGCCCTCGTGCGGGCCCGGCCCCACCGTGGGTCAGTCGCACTGCGGAGGCCGAATCCGCGAAGCTCCGGTTTGGATCATCTCTCAGACTGGCTCCGCCGAGACGACCAAGACAAAGATAACATGAGCAGATTCGCGACCAGTCGGCGCTGTCAGAGGCGTCGTCGACCCTCGACCCAAGCACGCGGGGGTGCAGCGGCATTCGGCCCCCACCGGTCGAGCAGACGTGCACCACACCGCGCCAGGGTCCGCCTGAAGTTCTAGGGACCGAGTGCTCCTGGAGGTGGTTGTGCCTTTTTGGGGCCTCTGGGGGGCTCCTCGTCGCCGCGGCTGGGTCCGCATCGAAAGTTCGACTTCGAGCCTGCCCCCGTGGAGAAGTCAGGGGGTCGATGCCTGCAGGGAGGAGGGGGAGGAGGAGGAGGACGAGGAATAGGAGGAGGGAGGAGGGGGAGGAGGAGGAGGACGAGGAGAAGGAGGAGGAGGAGGAGGAGGAGGAGGAGCAGCGAAGTTGGGGCAGCGCCTGCACGCCGTGTTTTTTTGCGGCCCGTGGCGCAGGAAGTACAACGGGAAGCGCAAGGACCACACAATGGGCACGGCCGCCGGACCCGAGGCTTCCCCTGCCTGCCCATCGCCGCCTCCCGTCCCTCCGCTCGTCCTGCTCCTCCTCCTCCTCCTCCTCCTCCTCCTCCTCCTCCTCCTCCTCCTGCTTTCCCATCCTTCTGTTCCTCCTCATCATCGATCCCTCGTTTCTCTTTGTCGCGCCCCCAGACCTGTCTGTAGGGCGGGCCAGGGTGTCGCGTGAGACGCCTTCACCGTGACTCGGGGAGCTTCTCTCAGAACCGGAGCTATGGAAGCTAGAGTTAGTAATTCTGGAACGTTGGCAGGCTAGCTGGCCGAGGAAATCTCGACGGAACTGTTTGTAACAAGAGGTCGGTTGAACATCGGTTTCTCGAGATGTGAGTCCGTTTGGGGTGGGACAATTTTCCGGACAGCTAGGATCTTAGTCTTGTCCACCATCATGAAATCAACAATTTGATCGTTTTGAAGGGTGACCAGTGTCAGGGCGGCAATTCGCCCTGGGACAATTTTGGGGGGCACACATGCGGCTGGTTGACTTCAGCTCAAGATTAGGAGCTGCTGCAGAGATCCCGAGATACAAAACACTCGAGCGGCATCGAAATTTTTGTCATCTGCAGCCTTGAGAGGTCTGAAATCGATATGTTTCGAGTTGTCTTCAAAAAGCGAGCATCACTCTGCAACTGCTCAGTTACTTTGTCCAACGGTGTTGCATTAACTCTCGAGATCCAGGATAAGCCTTGAGCTCTGCCGTTGCGTGAACGCGGGTTCGACCAATAGTTCTGACCTGCCGCCCCCAGAGATTCGAGCTCTGTCTGCTTCTGGAGCTATATCACAGAAACCAGCATCATTATGCAACTGTCTTGCTGCGTCGACCGGCTTTGTTGCTAAATTTAGGAATCTAGGACAGCTACACAGCTATCGCTTGTGGGGAGCGCGGGCGCGAAAAGGAGTGTGGCTCTGCAGTCTCGAGAGACCTGAGCTAGGCCTGCTACTCGAGCTAGATTCAAAAAAAAACAGTATCACACTGCAACTGTTCTGCTGCGTCGGACGGTGTTGTTGCTAAACTCTGGGGCCTGGGACAGCTACACAGCTTTCGGCTGAGGGAAATGCGGGTATGAAAAAGAGCTTCGCCTTGCAGTCTGGCGAGACCTGAGCTCGGTCTGCGACCCGAGCTAGATACGAAAAAACAGTATCACGTATCACTCTGCAGCCGTTCTGCTGCTTCGAAAGGTGTTTTCGCTGAGTTTCCGATTTCGCTGAGTTTCCGAATCTCGGACAGGTGCACAGTTCCCCCCTGTGGGGTACGTGGGCGTGATCATAAGACTCGCCTTGCAGTCTCGAGAGACCTGGGCTCGGTCTGCAACTCGAGCTAGATTCGAAAAACGAATGCCACTCTGCAACTGCGCTGCCGGTTCGAACGTTCTTCTGCTATATGTCGGGATCCAGGGCAATTGCAGAGCTGTCCCTTGTGAAGAATACGGGCGTGAGAAAACATTTTGCTTTGCATTCTCGAGAGATCTGACATCGATCTGCCACCCAAGGTATATCCTAAAAACAAGCGTGATTCGCAATTTGTTCTCCTGCTTTGAACGGTGTTACTTCCAATCATCAGAACTAGGGCCCCCTGCAAAGCACTTCCACCCACACACATACTAGTGTTTTCTGCCTGCACCTCCTGGCGAGGCAGGACAGGGAGCTCGGAGAGCTTCTGGCGGTAACCAAGGTTGACGGTTTACCACCATCGTTTCTTATATGATTTTGAAGTTTGCAGGTTGCAACAGTTTCAATGATGGAGGGCCGGCTTTTCAAAATGGAGCTCTCGCTCCAGTGCCGCGCACATTCGTCGTGACAGTTTACGGCAGCTTCGATGATGCAGGGCGGGTGGTTTTCAGCATGTGCATCTCGCTTCAGCACCGCGCACATTCGGGCTGAAAGTCTGCAGCAGTTTCTAGGATGCAGTGTTCTTGATGTTACAGCGTGGCTCTCTCTTCAGCGCCGCGCACATTCTTTCCCAAAAAGTGTGCAACAGCTTCAAGGGTGAAGGGCGGTTGCTTTTTCAAAATGCGGATCTCACCTCAGCGCCCCGCGGATGTGTTTCAAAAGTTGACAGCCGCTTCGTGGATTCGTAAGATTGACGTCCCAGGAATGGCGTTCTGCCGCGGTCAAGGTTGGTCGGGACGCAACGATCACGTTGATTCGCGGTGGTGAAGTCCCAGGATTGCTGTTTTGGCACGACTTAGGATTGCGAGGGCGCAACCGTCACGTTGACTCGCGGCGCTGGAGACCCGGTAAATATTCTTTGACAGGGCAGAGGAGTATCAGACGATTGTCTTTCAACGGTGCACTTCCCGCAATGGCAAAACATATTGTCGCGACCTAGTGCGAGGGACACTGCAACATCGCTGATGCGTCTTGGGTTTACGCTGGGCCATGGATGCTCTCAGACGCGCGCGACCTGGTGAGCCGATCACCGCTCTCTTCATTCGTCGCCTTTTCGAGGCGATGGCCTAATAGAGCGGCAGGGATCGAGAGCGCACCGAGGGGTGTCCTCCAGCTTCTTCTCATGCCTGTCCCTCCTGCCTTGGGCTTGGCCTGTCCTCCGCCCTCTCCTCAGGAGCTTGGCGCACGTCGTACAGGAAGGATCCTGACCCGAAGCGGTCGCAAGGAGAGCATGGTTGCTTGTGTGATTTATCTTGCCTGCAGCTCTGCTGGGCTCCCTGGTCTGCCCTCGGTCGTGACCTTGCCCTTGGCTGTCCTCTCACGCGCTGGGGCCTCCTGGCTCCGACTGTCAGCGTCGTCGAGGAGGCCAGCATCGCATGTTATGTTTATCACACGCTCCGCTTGCTGCCTAGCCCCATATCCCCAAATGAGCTCCGCTAGGCAGCTTTGGGCAGTCTTGGCGGCACTGCGCTCTGTTCGTATGTGCTCGCCGCTTTCGCTTGCGTAGTTCGGTGGGCACCCCGCTTTTCTGGTACTCTCGGCTCCTCCTCCTCCTCCTCCTCCTCCTCCTCCTCCTCCTCCTCCTCCTCCTCCTCCTCCTCTTCCTTCTCCTCATCCTCCTCATCCTCCTCTTCCTTCTCGTCCTCCGCCTCCTTCTCTCCCTCCCCCACATTCCCATGCCCCCATTATTCTTCGCTCGCTCCCCAATATCCTTCCTTCGCGGTTCCACCCTGCTCCTCGTTCTCTTTATCATTCGTTATTTGTCCCTCTCCCCGTTCCTCCCCCTCCTTCTCCGTCCCCTCCTCTTTCGCCCCCTGCCCCTTCGCCTCTTTCTCCCCCTCCTCCTCCTCCTCCTCCTCCTCCTCCTCCTCCTCCTCCTCCTCCTCCTCCTCCTCCTCCTTCCACCCCTTCTTCCGCCCCTTCTTCCTCCTCGTCCTCCCCCTCCCCCTCATGAGCCTATGAGCTGCAGGCGGCTCTGCAACAGAGACTGGCACCCCCGTTACTTGTCCCTCTCCTTCTTCTCCTCCTCCGCCTCCTCTTCCTCCTCATCATCATGCTCCGACTGCTCCTCCTCCTCCTCCTCCCCCTCCTCCTCCTCGTCCTCCTCCTGGAATGTTGGTTCCTCCTCCTCCTCATCCTCCTCCTCATCCTCCTCCCTCCCCTCCTCCTCCTTTCCCCCCCCTCTTCCTCAGGGAGAGGACGCCTTCATCATAGCCGACGCCGGCATCAAGAGGGGCGTGCACATGGTCAACGAGGCGGGGAGAGGGCGGGAGGCGAACGTCTGGTACTCGAAAGGAGGAAAAGCTGCATGAGCATGAACGCTCGCAGCTCCGCGCGGACTTCTTGGATCAGCGAATCGGCGCTCGGCCCCCCTGGCGGTGCCTCCGGCGCCGCCGCCTGGCGCGCTCCGCGCGCCAGGGAGAGGGGGTCTTGCGCCGATCCGAGGCATGCGCGCGGAGCTCCGAGAGGTTGTGTGTGTTTGTGCCGCCTGCTCTTCCGCCAGGTACGTCAAGCTGGGCAGCGGCCACGTCCTGTACTTTGCGGGCAGGGACATCCCCCCCGACGAGGAGCTGCTGACCTGCTACTCGCGGAGCCGCCCGGCGGGCGGCGCGGCAGCGGGGGAGAGAGGCCGGGGCTCGACCTGAACGGTGCTTGGGCGAGGTCGCGGGCAGCTTTCGTCTCGAGCTCGTCTCGCAGTGATTGCGGAGCGAAGACAGCACGATCAGAGGCCAGCAACAGATGTACGCGTGCGCGGTTAGCTTTCCCTGGAGGGCGTTTGAACGAGGACGTTCGTGCACTCGTTGCTCGCTCACACGAGGGAGGACGTTCGTGCACTCGTTGCTCGCTGTCGCTTCCAGGAAACACCAAGTCATACCACGCGCCTCCTCGTCGAGCGACCTGTCCAGTACAGGCCGTAGTTTGGCATCGCTTGGTATCTCTTGGAAGCGAGGGTGGTCAAAAGCGAGGTAGGTTTGTTTTCCCCCTAGTTTGGGCGAGGTCGCGGACAGTTTTCGTCTCGAGCTCGTCTCGCAGCGATGGCGGAGCGAAGACAGCACGAGGGAGGGCGGGAGCGAAGCGGCGACGAAGAGGCAACGTTCAGGTCGAGCCCCTTGGGGGGGGAGGGAGGGCAGGGCGCGCTCACGCCGTCGGCTTGGGGCGGCGTGGGACGTTGCGGGAGGCTCCCGGCGCCACGGCGGGGCGAGCACACTGGAACGCTGGCCGGGGTGTATCCAGGGAGCGAAGAACGGTATAAAATAAACTTTCCAGCCGCCCAGGGGCAGGTGTCCCCGACGGCGGAAAGTTTATTTTATACCGCTCGTCGCCCGTGAAGTGTATCCAGGGAGAGGTCCAGGCAGTTGCCGACGAAGAAGAATACAGTGGGGGCGCGCATCAAGAAGCCCTATGCTTTTCGTCAGGGTGTCCTGGGTTTCTTCGCTCCGCGCGCTGCGCGGTGACTTCCCGCAGCCGTTGAAGAAGCTGCTGCGTTCAGGGTGCTCCCAGTTTCCCCTCAGGCGCACCTCGCGCGCGGGTTTTCAGGGTTGGGCTTCTTGCGAGGGTTTCTTGCGGCCGCGCCCGCATTGTACTTGCATAGGCAGACAGCCAGGACGCTGAAACAGAAGGGCCCCGGCTGGGTTTGGGAGGGGCTCCGGTTTTCGAGCCGTTCCTGAGATCCAGGTCGGGGAGCCTCTGCGTGGACGAGGGTCGCCGTGGCCAGAGCAGCCCCTCCGTTGCTTATGCAGCGCTGCCACTTTGCCGCACGACTGCAGACGCTCTCGGAGCTCCGCGCGGAGTTCTTGGATCGGCGTAAGGGCCCTCCTGGCGGCGCCTCTGGCGCCGGCCCTAGCGCGCGGCGCGCGCCAGGAGGAGGTCCAGCGCGGAGGCCAGAAATCCGCGCGGACCTCCAAGACTTTGTGTTCATGGAGCTCTTCCTCCTCTGCAGAGCGAGGCTCGGAACAGCGGCCAGGAGTTGCCCAGGGAGAGCTCCGGGCAGCCTCTGGGCAGGGCCCTGGTAGCTCGCCGAAGGGCGTGCGCAGGAGGCGCCGCAGGCTGCCCTCGGGGCCGCGCGCTCGCGCGCGCCAGCACGGCCGTGAGCGCACGTGCCTGGGCCCTTCGGAAGCTGTCGGTGGGCTGCACGGGTTGGCCGGGGCCTCCTAGATCAGGACACTGCTGACCAGGACTTTCAGATTCCAGGGAGGAAAAGCCACCCGGGCCGGACAGTCGGCGTTTGCTAAATGGCCCTGGGCATGTACTGAACACCCCTGCCCTGTTCGATTCCTTCTTTGGGCGCTTGTGCTAAACGACTTCGCGTTTCGGGTTGTTTGGCCTCTGCACATCTCATCTCGAGGGAACGCAAAACGAGTAATGCTTCGACCCACGGTTGCAGCTTCCTCGCGCGCGCCAGTGTCCTCGTTTATCGGTGTCCCCCCGTATACGGGGCCCTGAGCTGGCCAGGAGACACCCAGGGAGGGGCACCGCGCGGACCTGGGCGGGACCTCGCCGTCCCTGGGGGGCTGCGATCTGCGAAGCTGTCGCCACTTTCGAGGGCTGCTGGTGGGTCCTGCGGAGTGAGGCGCCGCGCGGATCTGAGCGGGACCTCGCCGTCCTTGGGAGGCTGCGATCTGCGAAACTGTCGCCACTTTCGAAGGCTGCTGGTGGGTCCTGCGGAGTGAGGCACCGCGCGCAGGGAGGGGCCCGAGGACGGTTTTTTCCGCGGGCTCGGGTCAGGGACGCCGGCGAGGGGTGCAATTTTCGCAGAGGGCAGAGGGCTTCTGAATAAAACAGGGCTAGGATCGGGATAAATCGCTCCAGAGCGTTCCGGAGCGCTCTCAGAAAGTTCCGGAACGCTCTGGAGCGACCGCGGCGCCCAATACATCCCCCAAAGCCGCCGATTCTCAGAGATTTCGAGTTATCCCGATCCGATTTTGTCCCGATCTTCGTGTCGTTTTATTTCTCGGATGCCCAAGCACCTGCAAACGGGGTGTTTGTGAACGGGGTGGTAGCTAAGAGCGCGTTTTCCATTGTGCCTTCGAAAGATTTCAACGCCGCGCACAACTGCGAGGCAATCCCCCCCGCCCAGAGTAATGATGATGTATCGACGGTTTTGTCGTCCCGATGTATCACGCACTAGTGCGAGGTAAATCGGTTGTCACCCTGTACTCGCTCGTAGAGGCTCCTTAGCTACCACCCCGTTTACTAACACCCCTTTTGCAGGGGCTTGGGAAGCCCTGCTGCTCTGCAGGGAGGTGCCCTCGAGGAGGCCTCTGGAGAAACCCCTGCCCCGCAGAACGGGAGGGCTCCAAAGCCCAGAAGGGGTTGGAGGAGAGTGTTTCGTTCCATGTGGCTCCCTGGGAGGCATCACATCGCCCTGTTCTAGATTTGGGACATCCATCTTCGCCCACGGTGCCCACTGCACGCATCACGATCATCGCGATCGGTCCCCGGAGGCCCACTGAACCCATGCAAACAATCAAGCGGAACGATTTGCCCAGACATTTTCGGACAGCGCCTTGTTCATTGAGGTGTAAGCCTAATCCAGTCCCGCCTCTCCCTCACATGCCCCCCTGGGGGAACCTCACTTGATTTTCTGATGTTGCCTGACGACCAAAGCGTTGATAATGCATGTGTTATTGTTAGTCCCGTGTCAATTACCGCGCTCCCTCCCCTGCCTCTCGCTCCAAGACTTCGCCGTACGTGCCATCGACGACCCTAGGCGGGAAGCCAGCCACCCGTCGATAGGGGAGTTTGTCCGAGACCCCGATGAGGCCTGAGCACCAGCATCAGCAGCAGCAGCACGGCGAAGAGTAGCATGCAGTCTTGCATGTCAAGCGCTTATGTAATAGTATCGCCGTGGTCGGATCCATGTTTCTCGATTTTGCCTGAAAGATCTCAGCGAGATAGTGCATCGGCTTTCACCCTCCGCCGCTGTCTTGAAGGCCGCCAATGCAGTGTGTGCGAATGTCCGTTCGCACGCGTCTTCCATAACTTGGGAGGCCTTCGGACATCTGCACATACGTTAGTGGAGGTTCAGGAGGGGAGAAAACACACAGACACAATGAATCGTCCACTCCCAGGAAAATATGGAAAATATGGGAAGTGGGGGGGAAGACAAAAACTCAAACAATATGGGAAAATATGGGGAATTGTTTTATTTGTGTGTATTTATTTGTGTGTCCTGGGGCCCCTTCAGATATGCCCGTAACCCCATGCTATTTTCGCTCGAGGCACGAGCCCCGCCGCCACCCGTGGGGGCATGGCATTGTTTTGTGGCATTACAGCCACATCAAGGAGTCCGTGCTGTCTTCCACGGGAAGCGCTTCTGTGCTCGTCTCGCTCTGGTCGGATCCATGAATCGTCTTCGTAAGATCTCAGCGAAATCAGTGCATCGGTTTTCTCCCGCGCCGCTTTCCTGAAGGCCGCTTACGCAGCCTGTGCGAATAGGGTTTCGACTGGCCAATCCACGCCAGTGGGGCAGGCAACGACCCGAATTCGCGCCAACGGGACGTACGCTTCAGCTCCAAGGGCCCTTTCGGAGAGTCCTGGTGCATTCTGTCAGCACAAATGCGCCTGCACCTTGTGTTGGGTCTGTCGTGTTGGTTTTCGGCCGAAGCAAGACGGTAACGAATTAACCGGCCGAGTCTGGATGCCGCGTCGACCTCAAAGTCGCACTGGCCGTAGTTAGACGGCCGTAGGGACGAGGGAAACGCACCCACCAGCCTTTCAATGTTGCAGCCTGATGTGACAAGTTGGAAGAAGAGAGGATCGGATGAGGGAAAGTCAGGCAAGATGGAGGGGGGCGACGAGGAGTAAGGTGACAAAGAGAGGAAGCGGAGGAACCCGGAAGGAAGGTGAGGACGGGTAGGGGAGATTTGTTTCGCAGGCGCATTCCTATCACCGTCTACCACTGGATGGTGGCAGCTACTGGATCAGCGGTGCGGGGCACAACATCAACAGCACAACATCGCCTCCGTCCCCCGCGGCACTCCAGACCCCTCAGCCCGGCGCCAGAGAAAAAGGGGGAATAGACAGGCATCCTGGAGCCTCACCGCAGGACGCGAGCACACGAAGCCCAGAGAAGCCCGCTTGGCCAAACGCACAGACGATCAAAAAAGCCACAAGCCTTTTCTCGGGCGGGGGGGGGGCTCTCCAGCGGAAGACCGAGGAGGAGGAGGAGGAGGAGGAGGAGGAGGAGGAGGAGGAGGAGGAGGAGGAGCGAGGAGGAGCGAGGAGGAGGAGGAGGAGAGGAGGAGGAGGAGGAGAGGAGGAGGAGGAGGGAGGAGGAGGAGGGAGGAGGAGGAGGAGGAGAGGAGGAGGA